GCAGTTCCGCTCTGTCAAGCAGAAGGGGCGGGGGTGGGGGTGGGGGGGTGGAATGTGCATTGTAGTGAGACCTGGAACAAGGTACAGTCTCCAGAGTCCACAGATTACTGGACAAGAAATGGGGACCCAAGGAATCCAGAGTCTTTACTGCCATTTCCCCTTCTTCTCGCCAGTCAGCATAGGACTCAGCTCCTCTTCCTTCTTTGAGGCCTCACACCAGGAGGCCCCTAAGCCCCAAAGCTGAGAGGCCTGGGATTCCTGGCAGTGGCTGTCCCTCCCCTCCCACCACCCCCTTTTGGATACTTGCAGTCATGTGGCCCCAACCAACCTGTATCTTACAGAACTGAAGTTTCAGACTCCACCTGCCGCGCGAGGGTGGGTTGAAGGTTCTTTCACCTCAAGTGCAAAGAACATGTAGATACTTGCACTCGATTGCTGAAAGCCTGGCGTCGCAGAGAGGCTACATAGCTAGGTGTCAGGGCCGGGGTATCTGAATGGCCAAGTGGGGAGCCAGGATCCTAATCCCAGACTTTCTGCTTTCCCCCTACGGGGACACTGGATACTGTAGCTCTGGGCAGATGCCTGCTAACATTCCCTCCCATCTCCGGCTGACTTGGGGGGCTGGTGGTTGAGTCCTGGGAACAACCCCAGAGTGGGTGAGGGAGTGGAGTTAACATTCATCGCATTTCCAGGGAAGACAGGAGCGTGACATCGGTGGGTTCACCTCAGGAGACCTCTCTGGGCTGGGCAGAGGGCAGGGGACACTCCAGGCTCAGGGAGAGGACGTGTCTGCTGGCCGCGGGTTAGCGTCGCGGCTGGGAGAGTGCGAAGACCGTCTGAGAGCGGTCCAGAGCGTCGGGGGGATTCTTCTGGATTTCTCCACGCAGTCCTGGGACAGGTCCTCTGACCCGCCGCTTGTAGTTGTTGGCTTCCCTCATGTTCTGCTCAGCCCACTGCTGTAGCACTTCTCATATTGACTAAAACTTGCATTTGGCTGTTGTCTGCCATTCCAGCGAGCTGTCCCAAAGTGTCACTGTCCTGTGGGTCCCTCAGGGCGTGTGACACACAGCCGGACTGCTGTTCCTCTCCTTAGCCCTCTCCTTTACCCAGGGTGACCTGTCCAGCGCTTTCTTCTGGGTGCAGTATCGTGTATAGCCCCACTAGATCTGATGTGGCTTCACTCTTGGGGTTCACACACTGAAGGTTGAAGGCTGAGCGCATCTCACATAAGGAGCACCCCTGAGGGGAGAAGAACTGGGGGGTGGAACTGGACCCAGCCACAAAACTGTAGCCACAGGGGGCAGCAAGACTGGGGGTGGGGGTGGCTGGGGCCTGTCAGGAGGCCTTGTTCCGCCAGCCCAGATAGTAGGCTGGAGGAGCCATTCATTCAGGTCATCTCGGGTAACTCATCCCACGTGACATTAGACAGATGTTCAGCGTGGCAGAGAACCTGTTAGAAACGCAGGTGGCTGGACCCCACTGGGGATTGTGAAAAGAACTGCTCTGAAGCTGGAGGTCCTCTGTGTCGGACTCAGTCAGGGGATCCCTGCGCACTGACGTTTGAGAACCGCTGGGTGCGAGAGGGTGAGGGGTTCCCACCGTCCCAGCCGTAGCACTCCTCACAGGGCCGCCGCAGGGCGGGGCGGACCTTTGCTCAGCACCCTTGTCTTGTCAGCAGAGGACTCAGCCGCCCTGGTGTGAATGCTGCTCCATGAATGAGTTGGGCTCTTGCTAGACCCGATGGCAGGGGGGCTGTCGTGTGCCCGGAGTCCAGGAACCCCCAAAGCCAGGCCTGCCACTTGCACCTGCTACCTGATGAGAACGGGACGGGGTGGCAGAGGTGGCCAGGGCAGGCAGGATCTGACGAAGAGGCTGGAGCGTCACCTGAAATCTACTTCACAGAAATAGGGAAAGTGCCGGCAGCTCGTCTCTGCTTTTCCTTCCTTGAATGCAACTGGCCTCTGATTCTTGTTACTTCCTACATGCGTCCTGCTTTCTCTTTTGGGAAAGCAAGTATTTTTTTTTAGCAAAACTCTAATTTCTGCCTCAATACAAAGATGGGATCTTAGTGCCCAGCGTGAAGTGATTTGGACTCTGTCTCAAATCTTAACAGCTGAGAGGAAGAATCTGACTGGACCAGGTTGGGGCACCTGCCCAGTGCTGGCCCAATCAGAGGATCGTTTTGGAATAGACAAGTGTCTTCCCGATGCCGGGGAGAGAATATTGGGGCTCTCTAGTCCAGAATTTGGGGCTAAAGAAAAGTAGCCATCTGCGAGGCGAGGATGGGAGACTTTGGTAAATGATAGGCTCTGAGAATGTCCACTTTGTGAGAAATGGTGGGGAGTGAACATTGACATATTTTTAATAAATGAGCACATACATAGCATGAAAAAGCAACTTCCCCAATGTACTGACTTCAGCCTTTATGAACATTGGCTTACTAGATTGAAATTTAATCTGTGTGGGTGACTCTGTTGCTACTTGAGCGACCTTTAGTAAGTTATGGTTCTTAGTTCCTGTTTCTTGTTTATGGATGGGCATTAAACATTTCTGCCCTGCCGATTAGGGTTGTGCCTAACAATATAATGCAGATTAAAGTGCTCTGAAAGCCTAAGGTGACCCCAAAGTCAAGTTTTATTGCTAGCATGTGAATCTTAGGTAATATCGCATTC